CCCCAGCCAGCAAGGCTGGCTGGGGAATTCTAGGAGTTGAAGTTCGCCTGTCTTAAAGCGGCCAAGGTTGAGGAACCCTGCTCTAAACAACATAAACATGTTGACTGTTTCATTTCAGCACTGATCTCTAGAAGCAGGCAAGATAAAAAAAATCATTGGCAATCAGGACAGGCATACTTGAAGAAGTGGAATTTATCATCAAGAAGGAAAAGAACTCAGATCAAGCCTCTCACCCACCACTCACAGTCACAACCACCAAGGGGATGTAGGGCTGTTTATCCTTCAAATACTCTCACATGTCTCAGGGTAGACACAAAGTCCTTAAGCATCCTGGAGAAAATCAGAACTGTGTAGCTCAACTTACATAGAAACAGCCTATCAAGGGAGAGCAGCGATGATGCATTTATAACATTAGTCCTAAAATGACTGATTGGGGATGATATAGTAAAAGTGTGTTCTGTTTGGGGAGCCATGATGCAGGAAGAAAGTAATCTGCAAGAGATTTTGTCTTCTCACATCAACTTAAGTGTCCAACAGGCCAGTGACAGTATCATTTGTTTATGCTGTACAGGTTTCTCTCCCTCTTTGTCATGAAGCATTTGGATGTAGGCTTTGCTACCACACATACAAGCTCTTCTCATTTGCTTTTAACAATACCAAAAAAAAAAAAATGAAGTTTTGCCCAGCATGCCCAATAAAGTTTCATTTTTTCCTGTTTCTATTTGCTACTAAGAGGCTGTGCCCACATTATGACACCAGCCACATTTTAGTCCAATTCTGCATAGCCAGTCAAGATTTATGGTTAGCTGTGTCCTGTGAATCCAGAAAATTGGATTGAATAAATCATTGATTGGTTAACCATGAGGAGCATGTCACATGGAAACAGAGTAAAAGAAGTAGATTAAGATAAGAAGAAATAGGAAAAAAGAATACTAGCCAATGTTCAGAGCAAGCAGAAGAAATTGCCAGTTGAGAAACAGAAGGCTTTTATTTACATTGAATTGATGAGTAGGTGTGAGGTTTATTTGTTTTTTTTTTAATTTTTTTATCCTACTTTCCTTATTTTTATAAATAACTCAAGGTGGGGAACATACCTAATACTCCTTCCTCCTCCTATTTTCCCACAACAACTCTGTGAGGTGAGTTGGGCTGACAGAGAGGGACTGGCCCAAAGTCACCCAGCTGGCTTTCATGCCTAAAGTGGGACTAGAACTCACAGTCTCCTGCTTTCTAGCCTGGTGCTTTAACCACTAGATCAAACCGGCTCTTATATATATTATAATGTATTATAGGAGTTACCCTATAAATGAACGCTTTGGAACTAGCATGAGTGTGCTAAGAAATGCTGCTACAGGGTTTCTGATATCTGTGTGTTGAGTCAAACACATTGTGTCCTCTTATTAATAGCTTTTATGAGATAGTCCTTTCTGCCAATTGGGTCTGTTAAAACTAGACACAATTTTATTTATTTCTTGTATAAGCCATACCATTGTCTTCAAGAGGATCAAAGCTTGGTTCCTTGCAACTGTTCTGTACTGTATGGGCATCTAAATTTGCAGATGCTTTTCTATCTTTACCTTCAATTATTTCCTTTCTTTTAAAACATAATAGCCTTTGAAACTCTCTGTTTCTTTCCTTTTTTATGAGGGCTGCCACTTAGAAATCCTTCCCTACCTGGGCAACCCTCCA